TCCTTGGAAGTTGCTAAGAGCCATTTCTCTTGAAAGAAATTTCTGGCATCCAGAAAGAGTGTTCCCCAAGTGAAAGGCACACACATGCTGCTGGCACCTGTCCCCTGTGCTCAGTTCATGAGTCAATGCCCACTCCAAAGAGCAGACAACTCCAAGGTTCCCAGCCTAGCCTCACCAGCTCTGCCCACCACCATACTTCCCAGACACCAATAGAGTGTGTACTTAAGGGCGACTTGCACATACCCCTACCGCTGAACCCTGCTGAAGTTGACTGCGCTGTGTAATAAGTACTCTACAGCTTCCTTCCAAGGCTGCTGGCTTGTGTCACCTTTTGAATCCTGGGAAAAAACAATTCAAGCATTTATGGCTGTCCTGACCAGAGTTCATTGAGGCTTGAGCACAAAGAACGGTGTAGTCTTATGTGCCTTACACAATGAAGCAGCCTCATTGTATAAATGTCCTAGAGTGACTTCACAAACCTTGACAGTAGCCTCTATGGTACCCCTGAACCGTATGTGGCGCCTGTGGCTTCCAGACTGCATGCCTGCATAGCATGTTACTGTGCTGAATACTGCAGACAACTGCAACACACAGTAAAGGCAGTAGCTGGTACCCAAGAACAGAACATTCACCAGAAACAGAGCCCAGAGGCCGCTCTGGCTGAGCAAGTGAGTGTGTGGGCTGAGGGACAACCGTGAAGGCCGAGGACACCCCATCCACTATGGCAGACTTTATAAACATGGTACACTTCAGGCTACACTTGGTTCATTCAAATATTTTTCTTTCTTCAATGATAAGTTAATCTTAGTTTACTGTAACATTTTTGCCTTGTTATTATTTTTTAAAATATTTTATTTATTTTTTTATTTTATGTGTATGCATGTTATGTCTGCATGTAGGTAAGTGCACCCGTGTCATGCAATGCCAGCGGAGGACAGACGAGGCCTTCGGATCCCCTGGGACTGGAGTCACAGACAGTTGCTAGCTGCCATGTGGGTGCTGGGATTCGAACCTGGGTCTTCTGCAAGAACAGTGTTCTTAACCACTGAGCCATCTCTCCAGCCCCCCTTGTTATTATTTTTTACTTTTGCCTCTTGTAATTATACTTAGCTTAAAATACAGACACATTGTACACCTATGCAAAATATTTCTTTATATCCTCTTTAATAAGATTTTTGTTATTACATTTTAAAACTTCTTTCCTGGGGCTGGAGAGATGGCTCAGTGGTTAAGAGCACTGGCTGCTCTTGCAGAGGACCCAGGTTTGAATCCCAGCACCCACGTGGAAGCTAGCAACTATCTGTAACTCCAATTCCAGGGGATTCATTGCCCTCCTCTGATGTCTGTGGGCATTGCACAACACGGGTGCATTTACATATGTGCAGGCAATACACTCATACACATAAAATAAAAATAATAAAGAAATATTTTTTAAAAACTTAAACTGTTTGGCTGAAAACTAAGAAAAATACTCAGCACTGGTCTGACTGTCCCTCAGAGGTTGTCACCCCACCAATCTGAGTCAGAATTACAATATCAGCTGGGCGTGGCCATACACATCTTTAGTCCTAGCACTTAAGAGGCAGAGGCAGGCAGATCTCTGTGAGTTGGAGACCAGCCTGGTCTACATAGTAAGTTCCAGGCCAGCTGGGGATGCAGGGAGACCCTGTCTCAAAAAGACCAAAAAAAAAAAAAAAAAAGAATTACAATGTCAGTGTCACTGACATCTGCTTCCACATCCTGTCACTGAAAGGGCTTCAGGGTGACAGTACCCATCTGGCTGTCCTCTGCTAAGATCAGGAAGCTTTCTTCACAGTCCTTGTTGAAGCCTGCCTGCAGTTGGGGTGGCACTCAGCATGCCCAGCATGGGTAAGGCCCTGAGTTTCCTCCCTCATCCTACAATAAAATATTAAAATAGACATTTTTCTCCTGTTACTTACCTTTGCAATTATGGATATTTTCCGATTTAAAAAAATCTTATCTATTTATTTTTATTTTATGTGTATGAGTGTTTTAACTGTATATACACAGATAAATCTCCATGTTCATGCGATGCCCACGGAGGCCAGAAGAGAGTGTCAGATCCCCTGGAACTGGAGTTATGGATGGTTGTTAGCCACCATGTGGGTGCTGGAAAACCAAATCAGGTCTTCTGTGAGAGCAGCCAGGGCTCTTAACCTCTAAGCCATCTCTCTACCTCTTCTCTGAATTATTTTGATGAATTCTGGTGTTTTGTTTCTAAATGGTAAGAAAGAGGAAGTGGTTTTAGGTTGCTATTTGTAAGCACATCTCAGAAACAAAACAAATGGGTGTAGCAAGTATTTGCATCAGATGAAAAGTCAAAGCGGTTATCAGGTTCACTTTTCCACGCTGCAACAATATGCCCAAGGAAAACAATGCAAAGGAAGAATTGTTTGGCTCACAGTTTAGGAGGTTTCGGTCCATGGTCACTCTGCCCCACTGATGTGGACCTGTAGAGAGGCAGAAAGTCATAGTGGAAAGGCAGGGGGGAGCTGGGAAAGCAGAGAGACACAGAGGCCGGGTAAGGTTATGCCCCGCAAAGGCACAGTCCCAGCAATGCACTTCCACCAGTCGGGCCCCACCTTCTAATTCCAACATCTTTGGATAAGGCCATCAAGGGCAACAGCTCCTCAAAGGACTGGCCCACTGATGAAGGGAGACTCCTCGGGTCCCAGGCCCTCCCTCCAGCACTGGCTGGAGACCACGTCTTCAATACCCAAACACAACAGATGTGTTTCCCCATCGGTGATCAACATTACTTTCCAAAGTATTAGAGACTGGGTTACTGTTCAAGAATTTTAATCAGATGACTACAGTGAGGGTCTTAGTGGCGAGCATCTTCAGGCTGACTCAGAATCACCATCACTGATGTACAGTCACTGCTCACCGTACTTGCACGTGGATATTCCATTGATAATGCTCCATTGTGGAATTAAATAACACTACATGACTGAGTATAAATAAAGCATAATGTTCTTGTCAGTGTGTGGGGTTTGGTGAGAGTCTCATTCTAAGTGATAAATGTTATAGGACAGAGTTCGTAAAAAAACACCAACACCACTTTAAGAAAAGCAGCGAGGTAAATTTTAATTTTCGACCGGCCGGGCTGTCTATCTCGGGAGTAGAAGCAGCCCTGGTGATTGTCAGTTCAGAGTTTTTATAGGATTACAGAATTATTATTTAAACTGGACACTTGTGAACCAATCAGGTTTGTACAACAGCAGAATTTTGACTCTATTAATCAACAACCAATCATTATACAGGCAAGTGATACAGTCATACAACTTGGCAATCAACTTTGTGGCCTTAAAACTAGCCAACTGCTTTAGCCATTATAGTATAATAAGACAGTCAAGGTAAATGACTTCTAGGTGGTCATACAATAACAAGATAACAAGGGTGGTCTTATGCCCTGTGTAATAACAGGATAACAAGGGTGGTCTTGTGCCCTGTGTCAGGGCGACCCAAGACAGCAAGCAGGTTGCAGAAGCGAAAACAAGCTGGTTAGTAAAAATATAATATCTGGAATTAGCACATTCCATGATTCATGGCGAGGGCAATTTCCCAAGGCCCAAGGTTGCCCCCCTTTTCCTTTCGGTGTGGAGCAGAGTTGCTGCTGAAGTGGCTCTGAACAAAATGGAGTAACTTAGGGAAGTTCGCTGAGCCAGTTCAATAAACTGCAAAAGTCATGTGTTGGGAATAGTTAAGTCAATTTCAGTATGGACTAGGTATTAGACAATATTGTTGAATTTGTTAGGAGTTAAACAGCAAGGGAATTTTTCTATAATTTTTTTATTTCTCTGTAATGCATACTGAAGTATTCAGGGGGAAAACATCTGCCGAAAATTTGGTGATTGAGATATTTAAATGTAAAGTATTAGTACTACTGAATAAACAGTAATAACTATTAAACCTCCCTTCACTTTTCAGTGTCTGGAATTTTTTCATAACCAGTGAAAAACACCACAAATAAGATGTGCTCAGGCATCCCGCTCCGGCCACCACCGTCCTCGCTTGATACTCACAAGAAGGCGCTCCAACTTTTGTTCTTTTATTAGTCATTTCTGAGCTGTTTTAAAAAAAGAAATGGCAGTAAACGCCATCAGTCCCTGAGCAACCGGAGTGCAGAGGAGGAGCTCTGGGCCCTTGTGGCTGAGTGTCATGGTGTGTAGAGACTGGCAGCCTCCCCGGACGTGGCAGAGGTTGGCTGGGACGATCTTCGTCAAAAGGCAGTCACTCAAACTGAAGACAAGTACATGTTGAAAGCCCAGGGATTGGAAGGTGACAGGAAGGAGAATGCGGTTGTCTTCTGAGGCAGCCTCCAGCGACCCTTCCTCCAGGCAAACCACGGCACCCACAGCAGCCCTCTTCCAAGGAAGCGCACCTTGGCCTTGCTCTTTGCCCTCAACACCTCCGCCCAGGGGGCTTGTCTGCTTGTCTGCAGTGGACGCCTCTGCTTGCTCCAAAACTATTCCAGTTCTCATCATTACAACTGAAGGACACGCAGATCAATCAAACTGAACTCCCATCATACAGCACAGATGACTTTGGACCACCATCCAGTCTGGCAAGCCAATGAACTTTTCAGTGCCTTCCGGTAAAAGACGTGTTTAAGGTGTGTTTTTATTTCGAGGTGATTTTCAACTTCTACAAACGTTAATAACCCAATCAACTCCTTTCAGTGGTGAATGAGAGTCCACATTCCTGTGAGTCTCTGCAGAGTCCAGTGAAGTCACCCAAAACCAGATGGCTCAACAGGAGTACAGACACATTTGCCTGTCCCCTCAGCTCTGAAGACACTAAGGCAGGAGAACTACTTGAGCCCAAAAGTTCAAGACCAGCCAACCAGACCCTGTCTTGGAGGAAAAGAAGAAAAAGGAAGAAAGGGGAGGGGAGGGGGGAGGAGAAGGAAGGGGAGGGAGGAGGAGAACGGCGGGGAGGGGAGAAGGGGAGGGAGGGAGGGAGGAAGAAAGAATTTTCCACGAGTTTGGTGTGGAATGCTTGCATTGCCTCCTGGGATTTATCTCCCTCTGGCATTTTATTTAGACTATTAATAAGGTCCACTTGCATTTTCTAGGCATGCCTGGGATCTGGGGCACTTTCTCCACCGATCCCCCTGAACCCCACTTCAACCCCAGGGTGTGGGGAGGCCACTTGGCCTTCCAGATTTGCCTTGTGGCAATCCACTCTCAGACCAGAAGCCTGTTGGAGCTGAGGCTGTAGCTGGGTCCTTGGAACACTTCACTGAGGTGCCCCAGGTGACATCACTTCCTAGGGAGGACAGGAGAGCAGGTGTGACCTGAAGGAGCCCTAGACTTGCGAGGCCTGGGCTAGACAGGAAGTCTGAAGGATCTGAAGCCCAAGCTTGGGACTACCTAGCCTCATTCCACTTGACACTGTGGGGTGGGTGAAGTCAGGGTCAATTGACCTACCCTAGCTACCTTTCCAAAACCGTCTTGACCCCACCAGTCCCCAGTGCGTGGAAAGGAAAGGGTCAGACCATAGGGGTAGAGATGTAGCCCTTGAGCCTGTCCCATCATAGCCCAGGATTCAAGGGCTCAGGGGCAGGAACACTCTCAGGTTAGGGGCATCCAGTTAAGGCAAAAGCAGTGTGGCCCTTGGGAGACTCCGTTTCTCACTAGCTGAAGACTTGGTTGAGTCTCTCTGGTCCCTACCACCTCTCTTCGGCCCACGAGGCTGAGGCTCCCCTGCAGTGGTGACGTCAGCTGGCCACCATCCGGTGCCTCATCTTTACTCAGGAAGGGGGAGAGGGGGCATCCTGCGGGTTGGAGAACCGGGTCTTGCCAGGGGCGGGGCTCTTGTCCCTTCCGGAGCGCGGTAGGTAGGAGGTGGGGTGGAGCTGACCCGGCCGGGCTCCCGGGGAGAGGGGCAGGCGCGGCCTCGGGTTCGAGTCCGGAGGAGGAGGTGGCTGGGCCCCCGGGCTGCGGGCAGGACCCAGGCGGTGCGGAGGACCCTCCCGTCGTGCCCTGCTGCAGCCGGCCCTGCCCCGGCGCTCAGTCCGCCTGGGGCGCGCGGAATTCGGGCATGCTCCAGGTGCGCGGCGGCGGCGGCGCTTCGCGCTCCACGTCCTCCGAGATGGTGCGGATGTCGCTGGCGAAGGGCGAGATGCGCGCGCGGGGCCGGAAGGGCGCCAGGCCTCCCCGGGGCCGCAGGCTCCACTGGCGCGTCAGCCTGCGGGCCTCCTCCTCCTGCTTCATCCGGTCCAGCACCTCCTGCAGCACCGAGCGGAACAGCCGCGACACCTCTTGCACCTCGGGCTCGCGCTCGGCCAGCAGCTGCCGGAACCTGCAGGGCGGGACCTGAGCTGACCGGGCCGTCCGGGGCCTGGGCGTCCTCGGCCCCCTCCCTCCTGGCCCGAGTCTCCCCATCTGTGAGGGGGACCCTGCGTTTCCTTTGAGGTCTAATGCGCTCACCTCTGCAGGGAGCCTGACTGACGTCAACCTAAGCTGCAGTGACCTGGGGGGCAGCCTGGGGTTCTGGGGGTCACCCTCCTGCTCCATCTGCAGTGGTGATCGCTCTGAAATGCACACCTGGTTTTGACACTGTCCATAATCACAGGAACACGCCTCCCCCAGTCCGTGTCCTCTTTTGGGTGAAGGCCAACTCTGTTCTTTCACAAGGCCCTCCACCTCCAAGGAAGGCCAGGTGTGACCCCCTGGGTCCTGTGTGTTTCCCAAGCTGTTTCCTCTGCCTAGAAGGTCTTTGCCTAGAACTCAGGAAGTATCCATTTCATTCCTGGCTTCCTCTACCCTACTGACAGCTAGGATTTGGCAAGCTTCCCTGACCCAGGAAAGGAGGCGGCATGGAGAGGTGGTGAAGCCAGGCAGTGAGGACATGGCCTCTACCCTGGGGTGCCCAGAGGGCTCCTCTCACTGTGGGTGCAGCACACCAGCCTAGGATTCGGCCCCAGCATGCAAATACATCCAAGGGCTTCTGGTTTAGGATCAGAAAAATCGGAGAGGTCAGGCTCTCAGCCTGGAAGGAGGGGGAACTGCAGGAAGGTCACAAAAACCAGTGGAAAAGAATAAAGAACTCCTACCCAGGCATGGTGGCACACGTCTTTGGTCCCAGCACTCAGGAGGCTGGCAAACTCTGTGAGTTCGAGGCCAGCCTGGTCTACATAGTGAGTTCCAGGCCAACTGGGGCTAGCTACAGGGAGACTCCTGGGTGTACATAATAAGTGCAACTGTTAATGGAGGGATGGACAAGGGGGACCCGGGGAGTCTGGGGGAATTTCCTGTTTTGTTGTGGATTTGTTCTTTACAGAAAGAAATGTGGATAAAGAACTTATTTTGAAATTATTCTTCGTTGTTGGGCTGACTTCACCAATTCAGCGGCGACAGGGCTAGAGGGCCACAGCTTCAGGGAGGTGACATTTCTATTCAGGAACTCCAGCTCTAAGTGCTTGGTACATAGGGCTGTGAACTCTTCCTATGTACATGCAGAGCCATGTGTGTGCCCCGCCGCACACTCATGCCTCAGGCTGACCAGTGTGAAGGTTGATTGAAGCACAGTAATTAAGACACCAATTTTGGAGAGACTGCCTGGGATGGACGGCAGAGGCAGAAGGATTGCTGTGAATTTGAGGCCAGCCTAGGCTACATAGCAAGTTCTAGGCCAGTCTGGGCTAGAGGAAGAGGAAGTGGAAGAGGAGGAAGGAAGAAGGAGAGGAAGAGAAAGGAGGAAGAAAGAGAGGGAGGTAAAGGAGGAGGAAGGAAAGAGGAAGAGGGAGGAGGAGGAATAGAGGAGGAAGGACAGCTTTAGTGTCAACTTGATACACCTGGGTTGAGGGAGCCTCAATTGGGGATTTCCTCCATTGGACTGGCCTGTGACCATGTCTGTGGAGCATTTTCTTGATTGTTGAGTGATGTGGGAGTGTCCAGCCCACTGTGGGTGGTGGCACCCCTGGGCAGGTGGTTCTGTGTTGTATAAGAAAGCTGACCGAGGTGCTAGAGAGATGGCTCAGCAGTTAAGAGCACTGACTGCTCTTGCAGAGGACCTGGGTTTGATTCCCAGCACCCACATAGCGGCTATGAACGGTCCTTAACTCCAGTTCCAGGGGATTCCAATACCCTCTTCTGACCTCCAAGGCATTGCATGACACAGTGCACTCACATACATGCAGGCAATTAAGAAAGAAAGAAAGAAAGAAAGAAAGAAAGAAAGAAAGAAAGAAAGAAAGAAAGAAAGAAAGAAAGAAAGAAAGAAAGAAAGAAAGAAAGAAAGAAAGAAAGAAAGAAAGAAAGAAAGAAAGAAAGAAAGAAAGAAAGAAAGAAAGAAAGAAAGAAAGAAAGAAAGAAAGAAAGAAAGAAAGAAAGAAAGAAAGAAAGAAAGAAAGAAAGAAAGAAAGAAAGAAAGAAAGAAAGAAAGAAAGAAAGAAAGAAAGAAAGAAAGAAAGAAAGAAAGAAAGAAAGAAAGAAAGAAAGAAAGAAAGAAAGAAAGAAAGAAAGAAAGAAAGAAAGAAAAGAAAGAAGGAAAGAGAAAGAAAAAGGCATGGTAGGGCTGAGGATATAGCTCAGTTGGTAAAGTGCTTGCCTAGCATGCAGGAAACCCTGGGTTTGAATCCAGCACCACATAAAACTAGGCACGGTGGGAGGGGGAGGAGGGGGGGAGGGAACATTGACGATAACATCCTCAGGAAAGGATCCAGTTTTGGCAGGCAGGATCAGGATAACCCAAGCAGGAAGAGCAGAGCTTACAGGCCTTGAGCCCCTACCCATCACAGCCCCATGGCCTCTAGTGCTGCCTCCAGCTTCCACCGAAGCCTCGCTCTGGCCTGTACCTTGAGAGTTCCTTTTACCCCTTCCTCTGTCTTGCATATATCTGGGTCACTCATGTCCCCTCCCTCTAATCCTGGTGGCCTCAGACCCCTGCTACTGCAGCCCACCCTCCCTGGAGCCAACAGGGCCACAGCTGGTGCCCACTGCAGTGCCAGGGTTACCTGAGGATGGCAGGCCCGCAGTAGGATGGGTGGATCTTGGCACACACATCCTCCAGCTGCAGCCGCTCACCGGGGCTGAGGTTGTAGGTGGGCCGCTGTGTGCTGGCCAGCCAGCTGTAGTCCACCCCGGTACAGATCTTCCTGACCGCGCTTTTGCGCTCCTGCTGCTGCCTCTCTGCCTCTCGCATCTGCCCAGCCAGCTCCATCATGAGGGTCTCCAGCACCATCTCAGCTGGGCTCCGGGCAGACAGCCGGGGCAGGGTCTCGTTCCACCGGAGCCATGGAATGAGGGACATGGCCCCCCAGGCCCTGTTGAGACAGAGCAGAAGTGGGTTCTGGGCCCTTGTCAGTTAGAGGAGACCCAAGGATGAAGGCAGAGAGAGGAGAATTGGGCCCTGTCCAAAAAGACCCGTTCCTCCATGGCAGCTGTTCCTCCATGACCTCTGGCAAAATTCTTAATTCTGGAAAGAAGACAGCTGTCCGGGAAGCGGTGGTAAAAAACGGTTCGCTGTAAGCATTACACAGAAGTGATGTGTCAGTAACAAGAACCCCTAACACTCTGATGGCTGAGCCCAGAGAACTAGTTTCCCAGACCCCACTGACACTAAACAAAGCAGGAAACATTCTATGCACAGCCGAGCACAGTGATGATTTAAGGGGGAAGCACACAGCACACCACAGTACATACATGCATAATACATGCAACATACACAAACACATAACCATACATAAACACAGCACACATTTACAACACACAGAACACACAGCACATGCACATATAACACACATACAATACAAACAGTACACACATACAGCACGACATATATACAGTTCACATATACACAATACACATACAACATCTATATATACAACTCACACATAGCACACATACACAACACATCTATATATATACAAAGTTCACATACACATACAACACATACGTATACAACACATATGCAACACACAGCACATATACACACAATACACACACTCTTAGATGCTTACATCTCATGTCAATCCAACAAGAAAGCACACTTCCAAATGCCTCCAGCCCAAGGCTAGGATTGTGTGGGTTGACATCACCCTGATAAATCCCAGCTCACCCCCCAGGCACTCCTCCATCACTCATTCATCCAGCAAGCATCAGCTGGGCTCTGGATCCGAATCAGTGGAGGGACACAGCATGAAAGTGTGTAGAGCCAGACCCTGCTCTCCAAGAGATATGAGGCCCAGTGAGTAAAACCATTATATCCATGGGCCAAGGCCCCATGACTGGTAAAGGGTACAGTCAGCACTGTTCGGGAGGGGTGGCACTAGGTGATTAGGGAGATCAGAGAAGGAGCTGTAGGTGAGGGCAGGCTGAAAGTGAGAGCAAGCTTCAGACATGTGGGCTGATGGAGAAGGCAACCCGGTGGAGCCCCAGCCTCAGCTCAAGGTGTTCATGTGGCTGGCTGAGCAACATCAGAAGGACGTCAACTCCAAATTGATCAAAGACCTCAGTGTAGCACCAGAAACTCAACTGTTAGAGGAAAAAGCAGGACAAACACTCAAGACACAGGCATAAGCAAGGACTTTCTCAATCAGACTCTAGTCACTTAGGAAATACGGCCGACAATTGACAAATGGTACCTCCTGAAGTTATAAAGCTCCTCTTACAGCACAGTTAATGGAGTGAAGAAATCCTACAGAAAAGAAACTTTCCAGCTACACATCTGATACAGAATTAATATACAGAATACACAAAAAAACTAAACAACTAAACAAGAAATCAAAGAACACAATGAATGGGCTACTAAAATTAACGGAAAATTCTCAATACAACTTCCAATAAACAGATGGAAAAATGTTCACCCTCACAAGCCATCAGAGAAATGCAAATCAAAACTACATTGAGATTCCATCCCACCCCAGTTGGAATGTCAGTCATGAAGAATATTTTCTTCAAATGTTGGTGGGGATGTGGACAGAGGATCCTGTGCACTGATGGGGAAGCAAACTCCTCCATCCCTATGGAAGTCAGCATGGAGGTTTCTCAAAATACTACAGATCTGCTACATGACCCAGTGATACACTCCTGGTGTTTACCCAAAGGATATGTCAACATGTCACAGAGATGCCTGCACATGAGTGTTTACTCACTGCTATTCACAGTAGATAAGTCATGGAACGAACCTACATGTCCAGCGACAGAGGAATGGGTAAGGAGGGTGTGGTCTGTAATGATGGAGAATGAAATTCTGTTCTTTGTAGGAAAATAGGCATAACTGGGTATTGAATGAATTAAGTCCGTCCTAGAAATTCAAATACTATGTTTTCCCTCATCTGGGGTTCCTGGATTTTATATTCACAACAGTGTGTGTGACACAAAAGTAGTAAAACTGCCTAGTGGGACAAGAGTGACTCATGGGGGGAGGGAGTATGATGAGGAGTTCTGCTGAATATACAATAAACACATGTACAAAAGCTTGAAAGTAAACAGAGGCTGGAGAGATAGCGGTGTGTGTAAAGGCACCTACCATTCAAGCCTGGAGGCCTGAGTTCCATCTCTGGAGCCTACAGAAAGGTGGAAGGAGAGAACTGATCTCCCCCTCCTCATGAGAACCCCCAGCTGAGCCCAAGAAGCTCAGAGCTCAGGACTCAGGAGGCCCACTCAGCCTCACCCTCAGAAAAAGGACTGGCCTCTAGAGGGGACCCATGAGACTGTGACACTTGTGGCCCCCCATCACACACACCGATAATAATAAAAATAAAAAAGGCTATTGCTACATGTATATATATCCATAAGAAATATAGAAATATTTCCATGCATTATTCAAATATTTATATATTTATTTTTTGAATATTGTTTTTATTTTATGTATATGAATGTATTGCCTACATGTATGTAAGTGCACCCATGTCATGCAATGCCCATGGAGGTCAGAAGAGGGCATCAGCTTCCCCTGGAACTGGAGCTGCAGACATTTATTAGCCGTCATGTGGGTGCTGGGAATCAAACCTGGTTCTCTGCAAGAGCAGCCAGTACTCTTAACCACTTAGCCATCTCCCCAACCCCCATACTTACATATTTATAAACAATGAATATATATCATAATTATATAGACGTTACAAAATTGTTATTTTAAATGAGATAATACAATTATCATCAAATCATACATTATGTTTTATAAATGCACATTTATTTTAAATACTATGAAATTAATTTTACATACAAATATAGTTTATGTCTAAATATAAGTCACAAACTAAGCTAACAGATTATTAAGTCTGTTCCGCTCCCTTCCTTGTGAGTCATCCCTTCCTAACGGTTTGGCCCAGGGGAGTCACTCTGGGGATCCTGGCTTCAGAGGTCTTGGCTGGGACAGGGCGGTACAGGCTGTGCAGGCTCCTAGCCCAAAGCCTGGACCCTGTCTCCCCACTAGTCCCACTCCCTGTCCATCCTGCTCTGTTGAGGTCTTGCACGAGGGTACCCCAGTCTTCGCATGGAAGGCTCCCCCCAAACCACCCTCGGCCTCTTCCTTACCCCTGGAGGCAGGGCCACCCACCTGGCAGGGCTGTGTTGCCGTTGCCACCTCTGGGAAATGGGGTCTGCGGATGGCACCTGCACAGTGATGCCTTCTTTGGGGAGGGGGGTGGGCCTGTCTGGAAGGATTCCACATCCCAGTCTCGCATCCCTGGTCTGGAGGGGAAGAGACCCCAGGGAAGCCATGTCTCCTTCACTCCTGGACTCCTGAGCACAGGCAGGATGAAGCCAGACTAAGCCAGAGGTTTGCAGGGTCCCTCCTCCCTGAGGACCCCAGCTGACCTCCAGAAGCAGGTGGTTTTTCAGAGCTGAGAGGGGGTAGGCCACCCAAGTCCTGAGCTCTGTGGGCTCTGAGCTTCTAGGTCTTAGCTGGGGATTCTCACCGGGAGGGGCAGGCATTCTGAACTTGCTCCTCTCCATTAGCCAGGCTCAGGCTTGGACGGCTCCCTCAGGAGGCTGGGGGACAGGTCTGATTAAGGTCTTAAGAGCACAGGAGGGAGGGAGAGGTGGAGGGAGTAGGACAGTCTAGAGACAGGCAGGCCAGCCAGACTCCAGGACCACCCAGGCTGTGTGTGAAGTGTGGCCTGTCCTGGGGGCTTGGTTTGCCCCCTTCCCTCTCTCCCTTCTCACTGGCAGAGCAGCACTTCCCGACAAGCTTCCAGGCCTCTCATATTCTGGCTTACCTCAGGGTCTGTGACAGTGCCTTGGTGACCTCAGAGACCCCATCGAGGCCTGTTCCCCGTTCAGTCCACTGTTGTGACAGTCTGCCTCAATTTCATCACTGTGGGTTGAAGCCTTGGTTTGAGAATTAGGACCACTGAGGAATTTGAATATGAAGTAGATGTCAGGAAAGTTAGTTTCCTCAGATTAAAGCAGCATTAAGGTTTAGGGGAGTGTTAAAGGTCAGTGTTGAAGTGTTTATGGATGTGTGTGAAGTTTTCACTCAAATTGTTCAGAAAATCTACATGTATGTGTGTTTATACACATACAAGCATGTGGCAAAACACAAAGGATTGTTTTGCCTGGAGGGTTTGGGTGTTTGCTGCACTTCCAACATTTCTGCTGGTCGGCAGGTGTTCATAATTTAGAAGTTAGAAAAATAGCACAACCCTCTCCTCCTGTGGAAGGCTGTCTCCCACATTCCATCTGATGGGTTCACTTCCTCCCCAGCACCTGCCCCACTGCAGGTTCCACACACAGAGGCTGCTGTGGACTTCACTAGCAGACACGGGCACTGAGGCCACAGGCATCGGGGCCTTGGAAATGTGTTGGGCCCACCTGGAGTCTCATCACCCAGTGCTCAGCAGTCACTGAGCAAGTGTCTATGGCATGCCAGCCCCAGACTGGGCATGAGGTTCCCTCAAGGAGTGTGTATTTATATCAGACAAAGCCAGGTGTGGTGGTGAGACCCTATAGTCCTGGCACTCAGGAGTCTGAGACAGAAGGGAGTGGGGACAGGCCACTGCAATGCTCACAAGGACAGTACTCCTGTGTGGAGGGCACTTCTGGCTTCAGTGTGGACCATCCCAGGGGATGCCCAGGAAGCTCCCCTTGAGAACTCGCTGTTCCCACTCCCTGACTAACCAGACCTTATTTTCTTTATCGACACACAGGATTGCACAGACATGCAGCCCATTCCCCAGAATGTTAGTGCCGCTTAAAATAGGGTGTGTGGAGGCAGACACATGCTTGGTGGCCTGACTGTCCCCCACCCCTTGGTCAATCCCTAGCTCAGCTGAGGCAGGCGGGGGCTGGCGGGAGAGGGCTGGTGGTAGCACAGAAACCGAGTTCACTTTCTCTGCTCTTCCGCTCCCTGATACATCCAGCCTGTGTCCAAGCCTCAGTTTCCCCACCTGGAAGAGGGGCAATGAGGTGCTGGTATCCCATCACTGTGAATTCAGATAAGTCTGGACAAGTGTGGCTGTCACTGCTCCAAAGTGCAGGGGCTCGCGCTTCTCTGGGATCAGAGGAGAATCAAACTATAAACTTGGAAAAACTTTATTTTCACCTTTAATTTAAAATGTAGCATTTCCTCCCATTATGAATGAGGGCCATGGGACACAGCAGTATCTGTGCACCTGTGACTCGACCTCCAACCAAGATCACAGAGTCCCAACTCTTTAAGTTGTTAATCTTGAAACGCTGTGTGCGCCTCATTACTCTAATCATGGTATTTAGTAGACCTGCCGCTAGATTTTATCTTTCTACCTATTCGTACAAAAGTACATATATCACTGTCATAAGTTGTTAAGACTATTTCAACAGCTGCATTTCTACAGAGCTGGTCTCCTCAATAATCCAACAGACTGATTTCACTTCAAAACATTTTTTTCTGAAAATGAGTTCTCACAGACCCCCCCCCAAAGGGTCTGGGGAATAGCAAAGAAAGCCCCCTGCCCACACAGCTTCTGCAGACTTTATCCCCAACCCTGTTCCTGGCTTTTTCCCAAACTCTGTGATTTGGTGACTGTGTGGAAGACTGAACCCCACCTTCCTAGAAAAAGGTGGAGGTGCCTGGGCATTAAAAGCGCACATGCTCACCTCTGCCCCTAGGTGACGCTCTCCTCTTGCCCTCTGTCTTTCCTGTATCACACCAACCACCCTGCCACTCTCTAGCCTTTCTTCCAGGCTATTTCCGGACGTCCTTGAAGACAATGACTTTTCATCTCAAAAATGACTTGAAGACAATGACTTTTCCTCCAAGCCTGTTCTGAGTCCTGGGGGCAAGAGGAGTCTGATTCCAGGCTCATCCCTCAAAGCCCACTGCAAGGGTGAACACTTCCCGTCCCCCAATGAAGTAGCATGGATCTCAGAGGCCATGGGAACCCATCATCCCAGCATCTGTAATGGATGGATGGATAAATAGATGTGTGACAGGAAGGAAGGAAGGAAGGAAGGAAGGAAGGAAGGAAGGAAGGAAGGAAGGAAGGAAGGGAAAGTGGGTAGATGGATGGATGGGTGGATGGGTGGGTTCATGAACTGATGGATCCATGGATGGAGCCAGACATGTAAGTCTCCTGATACCTATTCTAACTCCTCGGTGAAGCATGCTGTTTGGTGGGTGTGCATGTAGCACTTTGCCCAAGATGATGGATGGATGATGGATGGATGATGGATGGATGGATGGATGGATGGATGGATGATGGATGGATGATGGATGGATGATGGTCAGGCAGTCTTCCTCATTCTGAGACTGAAGATTCAACTCTGGGCTGACAATCCCCCCAAAACTCTCCTTTTATCCCAATATCATGGCCAGGCCATCTCCCTGGAATTTGCCCGCCTCCCCGCACACTAACCCACCCAGGCCTCCTCTCTAGACATCTTATTGGAACCTCACAGGCCGCTCCAGGTGCCACCTGGGCCTTGGACCCAGCCTGCTCTCTGGTTCCCAGATGGCCAGGGAGCCTCCCTAAACTCACAGCCAGGTGCTCTTGGTGAGGGCGATGAAGCTGCTACCTCCTGGGGAGACCTGCTCTTACCTCTTGCCGTGGGGTCCTGCCTTCTGCTTCCTAGTCTTCGAGAAGAAAGTGTGGATCTTTTCTGGGAAGGTAGAAAGTTGGGCTGCTGCAAGAGAGCAGAGGGAGAGGGAGAACTACATCCTCACAGCCCCTCCGCCTCTTCTGCCACCGGCTGCCTCCTGCTTTCTGTTCTTCCTGTCTCCAGGAAGTTTTAAATGAAGGAAACTGCACTGACTGAAGGAGGGACCCAGCTGGGCTGGTGTTTGTGGCGTGTGTGTCCCCAGAGGCTGGGGCAGGGCTCCCTGCTGAACCTGGAGGCGAGCCAGGTACAGTTGCCATGGAGACCCACCTAAGCCTCTTGGCTGCAGTATTATCCATTGAGGGAGGACTGACCTGCCATGGATGTCCAAGAGACCAGGCCAGGACAGAGCACCTTGTCCAGATGGCATCTGTGCCTGTTCCTCCCCAAGGCCAGCTCAGTGTGGTACAAACTGGAAGAGTCATGGGCCCTCAGTGCACCCGATGTTGGCAGATGTTACCAGCAGCCTGATGCATGGCTCCTGAAGGCAGACACTCTCTTTCTCACAGGAGGGCATTTTTCTGGGCACCAGGAGCCTGTGAGGATGCATCACCAACTTTCTTTACCACATCCCTTACCTGTCTTCCTCTTTGTGTATCTAAATTCTTTCCTCACACTGGGCCTCTGCCTCTCTGGGCACAGTGCCACATGTAGGCTATTCTGCCCACAGGCTATGAGTGGTCCAGTCTGTGCCTTACAAATATGAGGTGACATTTAGACACAGACTGCTGCCTTGTGAGGGGCCAACACACTATAATGAGGAGTAGGTTGCATCGCATAGATCCTAGAGGGTGCTGTGCCAGCACCAGGCGAGGGTGTGACCTTGGGCACATCTGATTTGTGTTAAAAATGGGTCAGAAAGCACAGTCAAGATGAAGAACCAGGGCAAATTACGCGGACTGGGCTTGCCTTCCTGCCTGCCCATCTGATTTCTTCAGGAGGAGAGGGGTGTGGTGTGCTAGTCTCCAGCCTTCTCTCCTCTCAGAAGCAATAGGGTCTCTGGTCAGGAGCTGGATGGTATGGTCAAATACTTCTCATGGCCATTTTAGAATGTGTCGGTCCCTCCCACTGGCAGAGAGTGGGGTTGGGACAGTCCCACATTTGGCAGAGCTGAAATGGACTTCCTCTGCGGCTCCCAGGTGGTCTCTACCCACGGTGCTCACTTCTGAGCACTGTCCCACTACCATCTTCCTGGCACTTCCTCAGTAGCCCATGCAGGTCCAAGGACAAAGATCCCAGGCCATTCCCAGGGTGGGAGATGAGAAGGTTCTGACTTCCTTTGGGGAAGGTTGTGAGAGGCATTAGGAGATGGAACCCCATTCCTTGTGGGCATGATGCTTTATGCAAGCATTGCTTTATGGTTTGGGCCTAAGTCCATTTGTCCACACTCCCCAGCCCAGCCCTCTATGTGGCTCACCTTGGCCAACTGACTTTCATCTCCCTACTGTGCAGCCTGGAGTCTACTACTGACTAGACTGTGTTTGAATGAGAAAGGTCCCTCTCCTATGCTATCCTTGGATCATCAGACCTTTCCCTACAGGCATGCATGCACACGCACAAGCACACAGGCATGCACGATGTAACATCACACAGACAAGTGTTCCGAGCCACCAGAAGGGAAATTGCCTTGCAGCAGCATGCCAAGCAAGCTTCAAGACTCGGGGCATGGCACCAAGAACAAGCTCACTAATGGGCAGACCAGCAGCTTCCCTCTCGCCCACTCTTTATGGCGTATATCAAGTCCCGCCAGCATCCCAATCAACCGAGTCAGAATTGCCAAGCAGTATTCATTTTTTCTTTCAAACCCTGTAAAACTTAGAATTTGGTTTATGACAAGAAATTCTAATCTTAATATATTTTTAAAATATTTTTATTGTATGTGTATGAGTGTATTGCCTGCATGTATGTCAGCCCACCAGTGTCGTCTAATCTTTTAATCCCACCACACCCTGTGAGACTTTTGTTTAAGGCCCTGATGTAGTCCCGAACCCCATGGATTTTTAATCCCGCCACACCCTGTGAGACTTTTGTTTAAGGCCCTGATTGATGTAGTCCTGAACCCCATGGACTCGGGCAGTGGGGCTCCTCCTCCTTCCTTTGCACCAAGTCTTTGTTGTTTTGAGACAAGGTCTCTGTTAGGAATTAGGAGGGTTGGTTTTTTGTTGTCTTTTGAGACAGGGTCTCCCTATAGCCCCAGCTGGCCTGGAACTCACAGAGATCCAGCTGCCTCTGCCTCCCACGTGCTGGGATTAAAGGTGGGAATCAGGAGTTGAACAGAGAGCTCCCTCCCTGGTTAGAACTCTCTCCCTGTAAATGTTAGGATCAGGAGTTGAAAGAGTCACAGGTGGAAAAGCAAAATCACCAACCTCAACAATCCAAACTGACGTTGACTAGTTAATGAGGGCGACTGTGGACGGTCTGCGGTAGCTACTCGGCCAAATGGGAGCAGGAGCTTCAGTGGTTTGTGTAAGATCTAGGGTTTGCATTCTTTCTCCAGTAAGGGTCTCAGAAGGTCTTGTTTGCAGAACTTCATGGTTGGGGTTTATGGGGTTCTGGACTGGCTTATTTGCAAAGCAAGAATTGCTTTATGGTTTGGGGCTAATAAAGGTTTCCCTTCAGTTTCTCTGTAGCCCCAGCTGGCCTGGAACTTGCTATATAGACCAGGCTAGCTTCAATCTTACAGAGATCTGCCTGCTTCTGCTTCACAAGTGCTGGGATTGAAGGTGTGCACCACCATGCCTGGCTTTGCACTGATTCTTTTGAATTTTCCAACTGGGAAAGACTGTGAGGTTGGATCCCAGTCAATGGGTAAAAGACACAGTACTTTCACATTAGGGACAAAATCCTATCAAGTAGAGGCTGGAGAGATGGCTCAGAGGTTAAGAGCACTGGCTGTTTTTGCAGAGGACCTGGGTTTAATTCTCAGCACCCACATGGCAGCTAATAACCATCCGTACTCCAGTTCTGGGGAATCTGATGCCCTCTTCTGACCTCCTTGGGCACTGCACAACATGGGTGCACTCACACACATGCAGGCAACATACTCATACACATAACACAAATTTTAAAAACCTATCAAGCTTCCAAGTTCTGTGTACTTGCTGGGTCTGACTGGCCACACAACACACCCTTTTGCAAAAGTAAACTCTGCCTTGCAGTTCCCTCCCCTCCCCTTCCCTTCCCATTTGTGGGGTATAGGTGGGGTCCTTAGACCTCAGATTTTATTTCTAATATATGTTCTCTGGAGGAGGAAAGGAAGGCTCCGTGTGTGTGTGTGTGTGTGTGTGTGTGTGTGTGTGTCTGAGCATCTGTGTATGCCATGTGGAGTTGTTATAGTCTTCTGAATCCCAAAGGCTGTTTGAGAGAGGAGGGGTTTCTGCAACTCTCCAAATACTGGATAGTCTTGCTGGGCTGAGCCAGGAGGGATGCCAGGGACATCCTGGTGGGACCTGTCCCTGGACTAAGGGAGGAGTCACGTGTGCGGTTTCACTGTGTGCTGAGGTTAGGGACCTGTCCTCTGTGAAATCTGCTGGCTGCTGGAACTTTCCAGAAGGAAGACACAGGCTCTCCAGGGCTGGTATTTTGTTTTGTTTACCCAGTACTCTTGGCCCTTTCCCAGAAGACAAACCAAAGGCAAGACCCTGTAACTTCCCCCATTCTCCCACCAGTCACGGGATTAGAGAGCAGAGCCAGCCACCAGCAGAGCTGCAGCCCGGAGTCCTGACACCAAAGTGCATCTGCGACCAGAGGCCTCTTTTGCTTCTGGGCAGAAGCCAAGTGCCTTTTAAAGCTGCCAGATTCCAGGACTCTGTGGAAAGGAGATCAGAAATAGAAATTTAAAAAGCAAGGTTTAGAAATGTGCTGACACACATCAGAGGCACCGCTTCGAAATTACGACGCATCCACATCCAGAATCACAGACCCAAAAGACAGCAGTTACAGCAAAACTCGTCTCCAGCTTCCTGCCTTAGGAAGAGTACCCAGCAGGCCGTCATGTACTCACTGTGCAAACCTGGTGAAAGCCAGGGCGTCTCGGGAACAGTTTACTCATCGACCTGTGGCTTTTCTGTTTCCACCGAACCCTGTTTTCCCAGGGAACACCTCTTAGGGAACATGTGACTACAATTTGATTTCCACTGAGACAAAATCTGGACAAGAATTGTCCACAAGCAGAATGAAAGAACTCGGCCTCTGTTTTCTGACGACACCAAAGCAGTATTAGACAGGGAAGTCCAAACCCATAATTCCTCTGGGCAGTTACTTCACACTTGGGAAACTAAGCTGCAGTCATCTTGGATTTGCATAGAATTTGCATAGCCCTCAGCAATTCACAAAGCATTTGGTCCCAGGTTGTAAAGGGTAAATCTTTGGAAACATGGTCCCTGTCCTCTGTGTTTGGAGTGCGGCCGATCCTCAAGGTCCCAGGTTGTAAAGGGTAAATCTTTGGAAACATGGTCCCTGTCCTCTGTGGACTCAGAGTTCAAGAGTCCATCTGTTCTCTGGTAGCATTGCAGATGTTCCCCATCTCCTAGAGGCCTAGCATGGGGCAGAGGCCTTACAGATGAAGTCTGGGGGCTCTTCAAAGACCCACCTCTCTGGGCCCAAATCTAGACAGGGCATGTGCTTCCTGGGCAATGCCAGCCTTGTGTCTGCTTCTTTGACTCTCCACTATGAACTGGAGCTAAGAACACCTTTCATGTAGGGAATCTGTAGATTACTGTGAGGACTGAAGGAGACAGACCGCAGAAGCATCCTGTCCATTGCATCCTCCTCTGAACGGCTCCCAATAAACAGCAACTACGCCCAGACTCAAGTACCCCTCAGAGCTAGTGTCCCTGTGTGATGGCCCTGGGGCCTTGGGGGCACTCCAGTCCCCTTAGCTCTCTAACAGAAGCCAAGCTAGCAGTGCAGAGCTTCCCTGCACAGGAATCAACAGGGAAGTGATCCAGCACTCCAGGTCCCCCATCCTCCCCTACTAAACTCCGCCTGGGCCCTGAAGACACCAAGATCAGCAGAAGACCCAGATTGTCTTGGTTCCCAGGGGCAGGATGTTGGTTATAGACAGGGGTCCAGCTAGGTCCTGTGTCAGGAATCCCTGCCTCCCATCAAACTCGCAGACTAAACTCTGGGAAGCCTGAGGCCACTTCACCAGTGTCACTTAAAGGGTTTTTCTTGGGGATGGCCCTTCTACTTCATCCCCTCTTTCCCTTGAAGGTGTTGGTCCTAATCTCTGCACAGAGGCCCAGGAGATTACACAGATCTCTGTTGCTCTAATGGGATCAGAAGGGAGGGGGCCACCACACGGGGGAGCCTCTGTAGGGTCACTGGCAAAGGTTGACCCTCTTGGTTCTCACAGTAACCCCCCATGTTGTCCATGAAAAATAGTTTTGTAGGTAAAACTTGCAGACCTGAAGTTCAGGATCTTTTAATTACAGCAGGGGCCCCGAGCTATCACTCGTGACTGTGGTGACAGCCACCCAAGGAATCCCTGAAGCTGAAGAAAGGAAGGAGGGAGCCCTTTTCTCATGGTGCTCAGACCCCTTTGCACAGCTTTGGAGAAGTGGGCCTAACCTGCATGTCTCCCTCCCCACCGCCCTCATGTACCTTGGCCCCTGACCTTGATGGCCACAGAGTCAGCCAGGAATAGTCTCTGGTTGGCATCCCAGGCTGCCATGGTGCTCCACCCCTGCCTCCACAGCCCTCTATCAATCCTTCAAAAATGTGAAGCCACACTCACCAGTGCTCCCTTGCCCGAGGGGCTGGAAGCAGGGTGGCCACCATGGGTTCAGCATTCCCTGCTGACCCAGACTCCTACCTGTTTGTGTGCAGTCAGACGCCACAGAGGTGCACCCCAGGGCATCCAGAGAGGCTGCTCCTGAGGCTCAGCTGTGCTTCTCCTGCCCACCCCAGTCCCCAGGGCCACCAGAGCTGGTAAACATGGCAACAGGAGTCACCTGTCCTCATCGCCTAGCCTCCTTTGCCAGATGTCTCCTGATTTGGAGTTCCTCTCTTGCTGACTGTATTAACTTTAAAAGAGCATTAACCCTCAGTTTCCCCTCCACCCATTAGCAGGGGCTCCTGCTGTCCTTTTGGCTAAGGAGGGCAGAGTGTCCCCCCGCCCCCCCCGAACTTCGCTTTTTGTCTAAGCTTCTTTAAACGCAGGCACCTCCAGAGAGCTAAGGAGTCCTCTGTGCTTTGGACCCGCATAGGCCTCTACCTTCTAGAGCATCCCTGATGTTCCCAAGAGTGAGTTTCTGCACTGACTATAGGCTGGGTTAGACAGAGGCCAATGCAACCCCCACATCAAGTTTGAATCCTTTCATAATCTCCTGTCAAGCCTGCTGCATGTGAGTTTAATTTATTTGATTCATGCAACTAACCCTCCTTTATCACTCATGTACAGTAAGAACTTCAAATGGCAAAGGATTAAACTCATTAGGTCTGTACCAGCCTGAGAAATGGGTGTAACTACAACCTGCATTTTACTCACGGGAAAAGCATTGTAGCTACTAGTCCAATAACAGCCCAGGGCTCACAAGTGGTAAGTGGTAGCACTTGAGACATGATTTGAAGCAAGGCGGCCTTATGCCACCAGTGACCTGGGGACTGCTCTGTTGTGCCGCCCTGAGCATCCCACTTTTGATTGACCAGAGTCCTTAAATTCTAATTAACCCCTGCTGTTTACAGTGCGACAAGGTACAGGTGCAAAAAGACTAGGCCCCAGCCCACTCGTCCCAGGCGCCTGAGGACATGGAGCAGGCTTGTCTATTTTTAACACTTCCCAAGCTTCTGCAGGTACATAAAGACGTTGGAAATTTCTTGTGCGGTTTTTTCATTATATCTCTTTTTTGTCAAACACAGGATCCTACTTTAGGAGTGGTGCCTGTAATGTCCCTGATTTCTGAAATATCTCTGCATTTGCGTCTCCCCTTTCTCCTCTGAGACACCAACCACATGTGGGTTTACTAACGTGGTACTTTCCCACAGAGGAGATTCTTCATTTTTTGTTTTGGAGGTCCTGCTGAGTTACAAATGGCATACAGCAAAATGCTCAACTTTAGGTGCACAGTTAGTTTGACACAGGACCCAGGAAACAATCACTGCTGTCACCGAACACGTTCGCCCACAGCAGCCTCACCGCCAGGCGAAGGGGATGACCTGCTTCCTGGAACCAATCCTCATTTTCTGGAATGATGTATAAAAGGTGCACACACATATCAGAACATGGCTTTTGTGGTCTGCTTTCAGTTCGAATAATTATTTGGCTCCGTCCGTGTTGAAGCGTGCTGTGCTCATCAAGCGTTCGTCAGTGTTTGCTGTGGCCAAATATTTTAAGGACACACGACCGTCATCTATTCCCTCATCTTCTGACGCTGGGTTGGTATGCCTCACACCCGTGGCTGTCACGTGACATTGTGGCACACATGCATGTGCCTGTTTTATGTGTCTGTTTGCTTTCATCAGGCTTGTGAAATACTTGGATGTTGTGCTGGATAGCTTTAGTGTTAACTTGACTCACCTGGGTTGAGGGAACCTCAACTGGGGAATTGCCTTCATTGGACTGGCCTGTGGCCATGTCCATGGGGCATCTTCTTGATTGTTGAGTGATGTGGGAGGGCCCAGCCTACTGTGCATAGTGCCACACCTGGGCAGGTGGGCCTGTGTTGGATAAGAGAGCAGGCTGAGCAGGGGCCAGGGAAGCAAGCCAGTAAGCAGCGTTCCTCCATGGCCTGTGCTCCAACTCCTGCCTCCAGGTTCCTGCCCTGAGTTCCTACCTTGGGCTCCTGGGTGAACTGTGACCCGGGATATGTAAGCTAATAAACCCTTTCCTCCCCAAGTTGGTAGTGGTCAGAGTATTTTATCACAGCAGTGGAGAAACAAACTAGGACAGATGTACATTTAACATTCTAAGAGACTGGGAAAACTTTCCCAAAGTGCCTGTGAAGCCAGGTGTTGAAGCTAAATCTGGTACCCAATTTAACCTTCCCTGACTCTTGTCTTCCACAATAATTATGTAAAGTGTGTAATTTCTTTTATTACTGTGAGTTTGGTGATGAGCAGAGGGCCTTGGGGCAACTGATCTCCTGGCTTGTCAATTGTGTTTCATGTCCAGATCTGCACAGGGGCAAAATAATCAGTGACAAGACAACCCCAGGAGACAATTATCTCTGATGTCAGGTGTGTGGAACTGAAAAGCATCTTGTATCGACCAACCCAATAGGGTCATATAGGAGTCATTTGACCAGAAACATCCCCTTATGAAGGGAAGCCCTCCTGTCCTCTGTACACCACCCTGAGCCAGCTTCTTAGACCCCGGCCTCCCACTGCCTCCTGACTGGTTCCGCTGTGTAGCTGGCAGGATGACAATCCTGCCGTTTGACATTCCCCACCACAGGATGGGTCTGATTTCCTTCCCATCCTAGCCTGCATGTGTGAGGATGATCGCCTTGATTCTAATCTGTGGTAGCTTCAAATTGTGGTTTCCAGTTGTAGTTTCTCCAGTGATCAGGGATCTGGAGCAGGCTTTCCTGTGTTTACCTCCCATCCCTGTGTCTTCGGAGGAGCATTGTTTCTATTTGTCTTCATTTTGGTTGGTTCTCCTCACGGTGTTGAGACCAGGTCCATAATTCTGTATGTATTCTGAAAACCCTTAGTCAGACTTATAGTTCATCTATGAATCTGCATAACACAAGATTTTCACAGATGTCCATGTTTTCACCTCAATGTTTTTCAAGACTCACACGTAGGTCTGTGATCCGTTTGCGGTCACTTTTTGCTTACCGTCATGTGTCTAACAAAGCTCACTTGGGAAGATGGGGGTTACCGATAGTGGCAGTGCCTCCAGGTCCCGGGAGGCTGTTCACGTTTTCACCTTCAGAGGTACCTATCACCTCATTATCCTTTCTCCTCCTAGTCCGGTGAGAACTTCTCCTGTCAAAGGGCATTTGATTTCAGGAATATTTTCCCAAGATGATCATCTCAACTTTCCGTTTCTAATTTATCTACTCTGTGAATTACATTGTCTAACTTTAATATTTTATTTTTTATATGTATGAGTGTTATGCTTGCTTGTGTGTGAGTACCCATGCCATGCAATGCCCTTGGAGGTCAGAAGAGGGCATTGGATCACCTGGAACTGGAGTTATGGACAGTTGTTAGCTACCATGTAGGTGCTGGTATTTGAACCCGGGTCTTCTACAAGAGCATTCAGTGCTCTTTATTGCTGAGCCACCTCTCCAGACCCTACACTAACTTTAAAATTTAAATGAACTGGGGCTAGAGAGATGGCTCAAAGGTTA